ATTGCTGATTGATCACTTTGGTTCTCCCTGGAAGGCTGACTTGACTTAACTTTAGAAGGGCGTATCCAGGTCCACACCACGATGTGGATGCAAAGTTTTTTTGGCAACAAATCTTTCCCACGGTCTTCCTTAAGCCGAATTCAGAAACGGAAGTAGGAGTGGAAAAAATAAGCGACTGCTCAAGGACGATGCGGAAGCCGAAAGTCCGCACAAATATTACTATTCGAAATGGGACAGAAACTTCGTGGTGAAAAAACATGGAGAATATACAGCAAAAAAAAGAAAAGGTGTTTAGGAAATGAGTGGGTAAAACTGAATTGTAGTGAAGAAAAAGATCCATTTACCATATCTCTGATTTGTTTTTGAGTTTACTGAATTAAGTATCATGAGCAGTTTTATAAAGTAGCACTTAATGTGTTTTAGCACTTGTCGATCTGACCTCCATAGGAAACATACGATGCGAAAACTATGACCACTTTCGGCTTTAAATCATTATGGCTCACCTCGTGGTGATTTCTGTTAATTGTATTATGAACTACTAGAATCTGTAAATCTTTGCCTGCCGGATAAAAATCTGCTTGTTCTTCTACGATGGAATTCTAATTTTCTGGAGTCCTGTTCTACTCCTCTTTGCTTCAAGGCTGTCTTGCAAGACACGATGTTTTTCTCCAGTGTAGCGTTTATGGTCTCAGTTCTAATGGCGAATTTTAAAACCTTGGAAATCTATGTTTAATCTTTTGAAAACCCTAGTTCTAAACATATTTAAGTTTAAAAAGACGCAAATTTTATGCATGCTGTTAATTCGGTAGCACTAGGTATGTTCCATGAATTTATAAAATTCTGACCTCTTGAAGTACCTTACTGGTCGAGAATTTATTGTTAGTCGACTTCATCGCGAGTGTTAAATTTTTTTTTTTACCGTACTGCCTGTAATATAGTTGTGGAGTGATATATGGAGAATTTTTAATTACGTTCAGCGAAGCGGTGACACAGATTGGGTTCGAAACACAGGATGGCTGTCGTATGTTCAGCACGCGTACTACGAGCCGGCAAGGGAAGTCTTTTTGGATAAATACCAAAAATATTTTCTGCACTGATTCCCAATCATTCTTTTTCACTGCGTCATAACACAGTTCTGTGCTGAACTTCTTTGATTTTATTGATGAGCTCTTTCAAGCATTGATGGCTTAACACGTCTTAAAATTATTGAAGCTTGGGAAGTGACCCTTTCTCGTCATCCTTCGCACATTTCTCGACGTTCCGTTAGTGTTATTATTTCTTCTTGACGATGGTGCCGTCGGATGAAACGCTCTAATACCTACTAATATTGCTTACTTCAGTGATATTTTGGTATTATATCGTTTTGTCGTCCTACCTATCCCCAGTTAGTAGTTTAACTATGTAAAATTCCCACTCTTTTTATTAGGTGATCATAATAGTGAGCTCGTCATCTCAAACATTATTAGTCATGGCTATTTCACTCTTTGCTATGTGTTATTTAAAGTGGTAACTTAACCTCAGTCAACGACAGTTCTTGCCCTGCGTGTTGTTGTTTAAGCGGTATTTTTATTATGCTTGCCTAATTTCTAGGCCCACTTTATCACATTTTTTCAACAACAGTTTTTGTCACCATTGTCGACATTAGAATAGAGCGATGCGTTGTTGAAAAGCATCTATATCAAATTGGTCCAAGTGGTTGAGTAGCTGGTACTAGTCCTGTGGTGTTCTAACACGATCATCCTGTTTTTTTTTATGAAATTGAATAAATTTCCTTCTGTTGCCGTGACTATGTACAAGGGTCACTTTTCTTCGCACTTTCAGGTTTAATTGTCAGCGTTTGAGATCGTGATTTGAATCAGCTCATGAGCTGTAGAGTATAGAGGATGTCCTCAATCTATCTTTTTTTGATAGTTTATGTGAATTCGAGAAATGGACTAAGGTTAAGGAAATTTTGGCTTGCGCTAACTGGTGAAGGTTTACATAAGTACACATGAGTTCATTCTGTGATGACTGTAGAACACTGTGGCGCCCTAAATCCTCAAACGCACTGATAATGAATTGCCCACTACGGTAGGTTAAATGGGGAAATTCGGTGTTCTTTTATCACCTCCGCAACTTCTAATACCTCGACGAGTGGTTAGCCTTCATGGGTCCTTTTGACGATAACACATGTGCATGATTGCACGCCTTTCGCTGCTTCACATTGTACCACTCAGCAAATCGTATCCACGCAAGAAATGGAACGGCCATATTATATCAGAAATCATTGATAGCCAATTGGTACGCACGCTTTGACGGATAAATCACAGACTTTTAGAAGCGTCAAATATCTTGTGGTAGCCAGGTTAATCTTGAAGCGAATGTGATGAGCATCTATTTAGATCGAAAAGCCAACATGACGAACGATTGCTCCATAGTACGAAGGAGCGACAGGGTGTGGGAGTTCTCAAGAGTATCAAAAATGTTGTGAGGAGACAAAGAACGCCTGACTCCGTGCTCAACTTTTTGACTCTACGATTCTTTCTGCTTTAACATGTGCATCGGAAACCTGGTCGCTGCGTAAGCAGGATGGAAGATCACTCAGCGTTTTTGAACGTGCAGTCGAAAGGACGATGCTAGGAGTATCCCGTTTCACACAAGTAAGGGAAGAGATCCGAAGCTCTGATTTGCGTCAACGATCAAAAACAAAGATGCCGTTTTGTACGCCAAACAGTCGAAGATAAGCTGGGCCGGACACGTAATGCGTATGAGCGGCAAACGATGGATAACATCCGTCAGCGACCGCATTACGCAGGATGTCAAAAGCACTGTAGGAAGACCACTGGCGCGAGAGTCAGAGTTCTTCACGGAAAGCGCAGAAGAAAGATATGATGCTCAACGAGTATCTAGAGCAAGCATAACCCACTGGGCTACTCTTGTACGCGAGAAGGAGAGTAGAAGATTTACTGGCTCCCGTTTGAGTTCTACTTCGCTGTGAAAGTTGGTAAGTAACAGTTGGTGATTTCTACTTTCTTTCGCCGCGTAAATTGAAGAGGAAGAATGGCCAAGTGCGGTCATAGGATTTATGAGGTGAGTACTGGGAAATAGATAGTTGTACACAAAGCCAGTGCCTCCGACACTTCGTAACGAGAATTTCACTCCACAAATGGTAAAGGCTCCGTCATCTTATTGACGTATGTCGGTCTTCCGGCTTTTAACCTTTTGTAGGGCGATCACGTGGAATTTGATGCGATCCATGGATTCAAGAAGAGCGCGAAAATTGGCGTCTGAGGAGATTGCTTTGGTGTTATAGGCGCACAGGAAGTAGTCTCCATACTGTCTTGTGCGTGCTCGTTTTGTCCGCTTCCAATAACTTTTTATGGAACGCGAGATTTGATCGTCCTTCTCCTGTTGTCTCACGGCCGATCGTCGTTCCTAGATAGCAGTGTCCATTGTGCTGAATGTTGAGCCGGAAATTTTGCTGGCTTAACCATGGTGGTTCTCTGGAGTCCCGAAGTCAACCTGGCCAAAGTCAGCCCCAGGTCGTCACCACCCTAGGCAGTCGCATCTTTTATGGATTAGGAGAGTTGCCACCATGTTTGATATCAGGACGGTGCTTTTTCTTAGTATTGGTTTACTCTTAACTGAGTTGCAGTATGGTAAGGTCGGACTCCTCAGCTTAGGAGACGCTACTGGGAATCCCATTGTAAAGGGCACCCAGGGACAGCTCCAGTGAGGTAATAAACCTTGAATAGTCAAAAATGTTACAATTAATATTGTCTGTGACTGTGAGGTCAGCGTAGCAAAGACCACTGTATCCTCCATATCATAAGGAGAACGTATCCATAAAAATATATTTGGGAACAGCTTCATGATAAATCACGAAACAGGTTCAGATTGAGTGGATCGTTTCCATAGTATCTCGGGCAACACTCTTTCCCCGTTCCTCTGTTATCGCATCTAAAATCTTTGTTTTTGTACTGAAGTGAACGCGTGCTGTATAACAACCCGGCGATTGCTGCACAAGAGAGCGACGCATTTATAACTGGGTGTCGAGAATGATAGAAAGTCGGTTCTGGGAACGGTCAAGTTTTTATTTAAAACGCATAGTAAACATTCAACACTTTGTTAATGATATCGACAAGATACTTCACTATTTTCATGTATTTTCTTAATATAGACTGTCCGCCGGTTTGCTTTTTATGCATCACGAAATACTGAAAATGTTACTTTCACGTGGTTTGTTCCGAGTCATTTTTGTTCATCGTATTCATTGATCCTCATATTTTCCAACAATAATAGATGGCACATAGATGTGCTATGTCGGATGTAGGGTTTTCAAACAAACCACGAGGTGTTTGTTCACTGAACATTTCCGTTTTATGGACTGACAAATGTCCCTCAAATAGAAAATTTTGGTTGAGTTTATAAATATATAATATATAACTGTTACGCGTAGCACAATGGTTAATGGTGCCATTCAGTGTGCAATCCGTCGTTGATTTAACCTCGCACCTCGCATGAACCAAACCTTGTACTCCTTCGAGGTCGTCAAATTAGCATTGTACTTGCCTGGGAAGGATAGCAGCGCTGAGCTGATACATCGGAAAGTGATGAACTACTGATAATGGAATGTCACCGTAAGTCATTCTATAGGTCAAACATGGATAAAGTCACGTCTACGATGTCTAGTGGAGTCCATTGCACGCCTCATCTTCAAAAGGTTGGTTAACGCCGAACACTTTTACATTTTGTGTTCTATTTGTTGCTGTTAGAGAAACCACTGAAAGGAATTTCGATGACGCTGCCTGGCTCTTCGACAGCATGGGGAGGCACAGTGCTCGTCACATGCGCGAATTTAAGCATACGGAAGAAACAACGTGGCACAAAGACGTTAGTTACTATAATTACGGACGGCAAATCACTTCCGTCTTAATGAAATATCATGAAAAAAATAGCATCGATGGGGTTTGCATGTAGCTATGATGAATTTCGGAAACTAAAAACACACACTCACTTAACTACGAGTCTTTCACTGTTTTACGGTGTGAACTATGTTTGGGTCGTTTCGATTTCTTGATGTACTGCTTGATGGCAGCTTCGGGTCCAACAGCGAAGTCGAACAGTAATTCGCGAAAGAATTTGAACATGTAGTCAAATGACGGCCTATCCTGCAAATAATTTTCAAGAGTAACATTGCGGTTTAGGTTTCAGACATAAAGAAAGCTGCTGACAATCGTCTAAAACTTCTATGTTGAGAACTAGATGAAATGAGAGCAGAGCAGTGTTTGAAATGTTGCTGCGTCGATACCCACATTTGGTTTATAGCTGGTACACATATAGAACAAGTCGTCCAGATACGTTTCCATATTGTATCCACTGGGTAATTCCACGTTTTCTCCCTTAGCGAACAGCGCTTGCAGGCTGCAACCCACTATGATCAGCAGTGAATTAATGCTCGTCATCGTTCCCATTTTGTTAAGAAGGTGCCGTCAATATTGCTATGACCTTACTGTTAGCGATTACCTGCGCCGTCCAATGTAAAACGACCTTAGTCGACAAATACTGTGAAGAAGAAAAAAGAAGTGAAAAACCAGATTAAGAGATCACCAGGAACAAAGTCCTACAAGTATTCAAATCCCAAATTCATTGCTTAACATCCGTAGAAAATATTTCTTGTTTAAGAAGGCGACAATTATCAACGCAATGTTAGGGGGCCTAATGTGGCCACTGAATGGGATTTTTGAGGGTTTTGGATTGAAATTCTTACTTTTTTATATAACTCGACATTATTCGATGTCCTCATTCTTACTGCAGTCAATACATTTTTCCTCACCCATCAACTGTGAAGGTATTCGAACTTTCAAATATGGGCTCAGCTGTTGATTTTCGTTATCTTTATGAATGCCGGCTCGCCAAGTCGATTCTCTTGCAGTGAGTGAATTAACTAATCGCAGACAGGTCTGGTAACAATTTGCTAACCCCATAGAGATGGAATGCTTGTTAGGTCCGGGGTCGGTGGACTAGCGGGTGGCTTTGCACATCATGTCAGAGTTGCTTACTACTGCGCTACCCACCTCCTGAAGTTCCTGATAAAGCTAAAAGACGCTTTCGGTGTTGATCAATTCCTGAGAGATGCGTCATGCATTCGGCTTCATTAAGCATCATTAGATGTGGCGTGCATATCCGGTCTATGCAATGACTAGTGGTGGCCTACCGATATATCAAGTCAGTGCTACCATCATCCCAGACAAGTCTGGTACCCGACCCCGCGGGTATGGAGGACTTGGTGAACCCGGAACTAAGAGATCGATCTCATGTGTATTGCAGGGTGCATCTAAACACTGCGCTACAGGCGCTCCTGATGTTTCTGATAAAGGATAAAGGATAAAGCTCTCGGCGTTGATCAATTCCTAGGGAATGCGCCATGCATTCGACTTCACTAAATATCGTTGTAGGTGATTGAATGTATATCTGCCCTTTACAATGACTCGCGGTGGCCTACCGATGCATCGAGCCAGTGCTGCTACAAGTCTGGTACCAATTTGCCGAGCCTGGAGGGATGGAAGGCTTAGTGTTCTATGAGCGCGGTGATCTCTTCCACATGTGTGTTGCAGAGCGCCTACGACCACAGCGCTACAAGCACCCTTTCCTGTTAGGTATAAAAATTTATAGATCTACGACCACAAGAATGAAACAGCAACTAACTCTTTTGGTGTTCGCGGTCGATGCATATTGAAAATGTATGGTGCAAGTCCATTATGATTGAGCTAAATTGATCGTCTTCGTAATGGTCATCCTTCTAAGCAGAAATACCTTAAAAATGTATACTCGACTTCAAATATAACACATCCAAATGCCCAAACGTCGGTGACGATATTGAAAGTTCGATGCATCAAACATTCCGGGGCCCACCACGGCCACTCTAAATCGCTTCCGTCGGTTCCCTCCATAGCATCCTGAAACATTAGAATCACGACACAAAACGCAAACAAAGGAATTTACGATATATGGCAGTAAAGATTTTGTTAGATCACCTAATTCGCACTTTTCTTGCTGTCGTACTCCATCGGCTTAGCAAATATAAGGTAATGGCCTATTGTGGAAAGCCACCGAAACTGTCACTAATTCCATCTTTCAGAAGGGGTTTAATTCCAATAAAAACCATGTTCCCATACCTTGTCCAAGAAATGGTACGGCAGCATGTAATCGGTGATCTTCACGGCGTAAATATGAGTGGTCGATTGGTGTACAACGATATTCGACGCGCGAAGATGGCGGTGACACAAACCGTTCAATTCCAGAAAGCGCATACCTGCACACACCTGAAGCACTAACAAGAAACAAGGAATACTGTTGTAGCTGGTCTATTTGGAGATATTCGTTTTATAGAGCATGGATGGAATAACGTAATTAATTCCTCATGAATACTATTTTCCTTAGGCTCAATCGGAGACGCCAAGAAGAGCGGGTATCCACTCCACTCGGCTAATTTTTGATGCGAGAACGATGTGAACAATAAAGCAAAGACAACGTTTCATAACTCTGGCTACCGACTTCCACTGTTACATCATATATTCCATTTTCCATACCACATTCTCCAGAGTCATTATGACGGCGTGGCATCATATTATTGGTTCTTGCCTTTTATTTTTGATAATGTCGCTATAAAATGAGCAAGTTTTGGTTGTGAACCTTTTATGCAGCACGTGAACGTGTTTATGCACTGAGTTATGCAATTACCTAAGGCTCATATAATCTTCGGAGTCGTAGGCTAAGTTTGATGGAATTGAGTCGTGTTATTGCAATAAATTATCGTTTGGATATGGTTCATGACTTCGCAGCTTTTACAAAGTCGGGTTGGAATGTTTCTGGAAGCTTAGCCGATTCTCTTTAACCCTCTTACGATTCCAAGCTGGTAGTCTTCGGGATATCAAGTTGAAAGGTTAACTTACATTAACTTACATTATAAGGGAAACACGGATGGAGCATTGACCACCCACACCAATCACCACCTTGCAAACTAATAAAGGGAATGGAAGATTTTTGCGGTCCTACTCCGAGACAAATGTAAGCCCAGTGTTACGGCTTCTAAAAACGAGAAGCTCGAAAAGTTAGGCGGTTTCATGAAGGTATCTCTCCAATAAACATTATCGTCACAACAGTAAACAAAGCTTAGAAAAACTGCTTTAAATTTAAACCGTTTTCTGACCAAATGAAACCAGTGTTTGAAAGCTGTGGCAACATTTAGAACATGACTCGAACTCCAACCTGGTACAAGACTTCGGATTTTTGCCGCAACGACATCTCCTGACTAAAGTATCTTCTCCGTTGAAGACATCTGTCGAGTGGAATGCCATTGATGAATTCGTATGCAATCCAGTGAGCAAATTTCTGAATTGGAAACCCATGGTCTTCGAATGGCTTTTTCTCTGACCCTTGTTCAATTTAGTACAGTTGTGGAGTCAACTATGCTGAGTTGAAATCACAATGTTAACTTTTTATTTGTTGCCTACTACAATTTTTTATGGCAGAGTACCAAGCGAAATGTAACCATAATGGTGCTGAGACGTTTGCAAAACTGCGGTCCAACGCCGATTTGGGCACCGCAGATCAATTCCGTTAACGGGTAAGCTGATGTCACTAATGGGATAGAACTAGCTGAGAGACAGGCGAAACGAAGGATACGAATGGTGTGGTGGTGAACGCGTTGGGCTGAGAAAGGGTAATAGCGCGTTCGTTCCCCACCGCATACACCTGCGGTTCGGAGTTTTGCAAGCATCATGTACCATTGTGGTTACGTTGAGTTGCTTTTAGTTTTGACTTTAGCATGAAGTTTGCAACCTACGCCAGTCTGATTTCGGTTCATTCTTTACTTCTACTTCTTACTATGTCCGAAAAGCAACTCAGTTAACTCCCAAATATTCTCAAGTCAGTTATTCGGTTGAACCCATTTTCACACCAGGTGATGTGGAAAAAAACCGGAATGTATGAGATAGTCGACGAAGAACTCACAGCATCTTCTTCGAATCCGAGTCCGATAATGTGTGAGAGAAAACTGTAACCATTTCTAATATTTCCTTCTTGTATTTTTCTGGAAATCGAACTTGGCAACACTTTTTCACTATACGAGAAAATCTCCATAAAACGTGTTGTTGATCATCACTATATGGTGATTTAAGCGCTATTTCTTAGTGGAATCTCCCAAAGTAGTTAACTTTACTCCTTCAATCGATTCGCTTCCTCATAGTGGGTGGGAGAAAGTTCTGAATGCCCAAATGCAATATGAAAAGCGACAAGGTTACGCAAATGTCATGAAGACTTTTACACTTCCATACAGAACTTCATATAAGAGTAAACCAATTTCATAAAACATCCAAGGGAGGTATCCATGATTACCTTTCCTCGAAAAACACTAGGAAGCGGTTTCGCAAGATACAGTTGGCGCTCTTCGTATCCGTTGGGTAACTAGAGCCCGGTGAGCAACTCTGGGAGTTTACAGGGATGAATGGAATCTACTAGCGGTCTTCCCAGTTTCTCTACTTTTTATTATTGCTATTTATATGACTCTAAGTCACAAATCGTACTGAATTCAGCGCTTTCCTCAATCGGGTTCGTCGTTTTGTATTTGTCGTCTATGCATATTCGTGTGAGCGCTCGGCAATTCTGTCTTCTCCATGAATGTCGTTGAATGTAGGTACTAACGACTCTCGTTGGAGCGTCATTTCTTCACCACATAGACGTACTGACATTTGTGGATCATAGGAAGGCAAGTATGATATAAATTGACCTCGGTATAAAAGGCTTAGTAGACTTAGAACAGACTGGGACCAATAGTCACGCGTGTATCACACAGAATCTTTAAGCATTTCACTTCTCACACTCCGAGAGTTACTCAGCGGTTGACATAGCTCCACATAACATATGTGGTAGGATTATGGCGACCACATAACCATCATTGTTTTTGGAGTTGACATAGTATTCTATCAACGAAAGTGTGGGTATTGGTAGTCTACTTTTCTATTCACTAGTCCACAAAGGCCATTCCATAAGGTATCAGTTAACATCTATTACTTCTCAAGGAGAACGAAGCCGTTTATTTCTATGACGGAGATGAACATTCTGCTCTTTCTTGCTTAAACTTATTTTTATTGTGCAAATAGTGCGAATAACGTTTACTGCAAGTCTTCATTTATTCTTTCCGTCCTACACCAATAATATTTATATAAGCAAGGATCTGAGAAAAAATATGAATAGCTCGCTCACGATGGGTTATCTTTGCTTATTTTCTCCACTTCTCTGAGCCGTCTGAAACTTGTTATGTTGATCATAGGATTATTCTTTTACTTGATAATGAATAATTCGAACAATGTAGGAAAAACCTTCAAATTAAGATGAATACTGGCTCGTCAGAAGACTTCGCAGTTCTAACGGAAAAACTTGGTCGGAGGACAAGGAAATCATCTTCAGTTCAAAATCCCCTATGGTGGTTTGTAGCAATCGAATTCAAAACTATTCCGAGGCATCGACGCATCGATGACAACTTGAAACAGAAGAAGGGGAAGGCTTTTTTCGAAGCAAGATCACTTATTTTGGAATGGAACTTTCTTAAAAATCATTGTTTTCAGCAAGAAATTGAAAAGAACTGATCGTTAGGCTGCTGAAGCAATCGACATCACATTTCTTCAAGTAACTTATTTGATCAGCACCATGTATTCCGTTGAACCCACTCAATGTCCTTATCGAAAGTCTTCTGATTGAAAAGCTTAGGTCGCAGCCTGCGAATAGTAGCCGGACTGTAGATTCCGTTGTAGTACAAGTAGGCTTTGAACAATGACTCCTTTTGCTCCTTGTCCAAAGAAAGTAGTCGTTTTGCTATTCTGAAAATATTTTAGACCCTTTTTTCGTACATACATACGTTAGTTAGTAACCCAAACGTGAAGTGTTTTACAAGATTTTTCCTATGTGTCGTGAATTCATCCGTATTTCTTTTAGCTAAATCAGGACGATCAACGCGACACACGGCTATAAAGCCCTCTAGAACCACAACTATTTGGACACCTTAACTTATCTGGACAACCAGTCACTGGAAAATATGCTAACCCTAGTACAAAACCCAGCTTACTAGTATTTTGCTGGTCTTATATTTTTTTGCTGAAAATCTGAGGTATCCGTAGTAGACGCAGTTGTTCGATCCTCGTGCACTGGAAGGAGGTTGAAACTTAGTCCCTTCAAAAAAGCACTTCATGCCACAAATTCACTTGTACAGTGACTTGTAGACAAAAATGGAAGACCCTTTGGCCCAGATAACATTTAGAGATCAAGATTCTACCGTAGAAAGCTGCCTGATACCCGCAAACACACTGTCACCATGATGACGCTGGTAACTAGTCTGCAACCAACCCTGTAATATCTTCTTGTTCCGAGAGTCGTCTCATCTCGTAATTGTATAGCTGGCCGAAAATCATCAAAATAGTTTTTAACCGATAAAGCTGTGATATTGCGGAAGCCACGCAAAATCGGCATGGATTTGCCAAATGCTCTAGAATCGTGAATGTGATCTAAGTCCACATACATTGACTGAGAAGCATGAGGGATCAAAAAACACTCTCAACTTATCCTTTTTCAATTTCTAAAATGCTTTTACGAGGATGTATTTCTGTGCGCTAGTATTCCCAGCATAACTAAGAAAATGGAATAGAACCTTACGAAGACGAATGGAGGAGCACACCTAACTTTATTCCCTCCTTCCAAGCTTGACATCTTCCTTAATGCTTGAATGCGCACGCTGAAGAATTAGTCTGCATTCAATCGCATCACAAGTGGTTCTAGATATGAAGAATTCTTGATTGTTATTCAGCACCAGAATGGTGCTTGTTCGACAGCATCTTGGGCTCGCCAAACTTCCCATCCCTCTGTGGCCGGAGAATTGGTTCGAAATCCGCTTGGTACCATATAACTCCTTTGAAGCCACTACACATGCCTAGTTCTTGTGACAAAGATATGGGAACACCTTAGTGTGGATATCCCTGAATTCGATAGAGAATTGACTTGATAACACGCAACGAGATTCATTAGGAATACCTATTCAACGACAATCTTAATGGTTACCAAGTAATCTAAATTAACAGTCAAACTCACAAATCCGCAAAGTTCGGCGACAAATACGAGAAAACGAATCTAGTGAAAGAGAGGTCGGGATCTCCACAAAATATGAAGCCCGTTCGTGTACGAGGAACTCGAAACAAACGAATATAAACTATCCTCTTCCTCACTTGAAAGTGGGATATTCAACTATGCAAATATGACACAGTGCAAAGGTGTTCCAAGCAAATGCTTGCACGATCAGAGGATGGGTAGGTGCCACAAAATTCACGTCCATGTAAAGGAGTCAAATATTCAGAATATTACCATAAAAAAACAAAGGGTGAAGCTCTCGGCGTTGATCAATCCCTGAAAATGCGCTATGCATCCGATTTCATCCAACATCGTCTGGAAGTGATTGAATGCATATCCGACCCTTGCAGGGACTCGGGGTGGCCTGCCGATGAATCAAGACAGTGCTGCCATGCTACCGCACAGAATATTGATATAAGGTGGAAAGATTTTGATAAAAATGAGTTTGACATCTAGACATACCGTGGTTTATATTGAGAGAGTGATTTATTTGTATCTTCTAAGATTAGTTTCATTGGAGAACGTTGGTCGTATAAATAATTGGGTTTCAGTTCACCTTGAAATGAACTAATTTATTTAAAAATAAATGACAACCAGCTCTAGAAATAGTGAGAAAATGCGTTCTTATTCTATGTAAAAGCATACCAAACACTGGTCTTGGAAAAGTATGCGGTGGTAAGTCGAAATTCATCACGCCTTGAAGAAACAGTTGGAATGGCAGTCTATCAGGGTTAGTTTCACTACTCAGCGGTAAGAGATGAGCTAAATTGGATATTTTAGAAGAAAAAAGCCGAATACAGACGTGTGGGAGTCAGCAGTTTTTGGCAACTAAGGAACGTCTCAGTCAAACATTTATGTCGCTAAAATGCAAATGCAAACGATAACAACTTCAATCCTCTGTTCGATTTTATTTTGGTGAAACTCACATGCCGACATAGTAAGACTGCCACGGATAGGAAACCTGTGAAAAAGATGAAAGCTATGATGGTTTATGGTTTTTCAGAAATTTTCTGCAGTTCACGGCCTTTCCTCGCCAGCTGCTTGAATCAGAAATGTCGGCTGTATTCAGAATAAGAGACATTGGCCACCTTATAATAGGGAACATGTACTTTGTGACAGTGTGACAAAGTGGTTCGTAGTTAGGATAATTTGTGCTTTGGTAGACCGATCTGACTAGAACTCGAAAGTCGCTCTAAATTGTTTGCAAACCATAACTGGCTTGGGTTAACTTCACGGTACCAGTGCGCTCTACATCTCCTATGTGTACGTCCAAATTGCCCTGCTAGTTTTTTAAACACATTGTTGACTGTGCTTAGATTTTAACTGCAGCATGACTGTCGATTAAACTTGACCGTCGGTATAGAAAGCCTGCAACTGCTACGATAAGCGAAGAAACACTCGTACATACAATAGTAATAAGACAGCAGTAAGTCGACCGATGAAAATGTGTCGTTCTGCTCGAGATAGAACATTCCATCACTGAAAGGACTTGGTCAATGACGAAGTAGGTAAGGTAATCTCAATGCTTACGGTGTTCGTTTAATGACGTAGTAGGCGATGGGCGGAACCGCACCATGCGGTGGGCCACAAATGATGTCGTTTACGATTTTTCGCTTCTAAGCAAACACTTTTTCGATTGCTAACAATCGACTAAAATTTTATACCTACTTTGAACGATTTGCTAAATCTCTGGTTAAACTTGTAGTCGATTTCCCACTCGTACATCCACTGATCCACGTCACCTGTACGTAAACAATGCGGCAGTTCTTTCTTTTTGAGAGAAACGCGCGAAATACATAGCGCTGAAAGACTTTTAAAGAATGATTTCTACCTGATATATTCCTGACAACCAGCACAAATTCTGCCCATTCGTCAGCTGCTAATGGATCCATTTCCTTCAATATGTCAGAAATTGTAAGGATAATGGAGAAGGAGCAAAAAACTCAAAGCAAAGCTCACTGGAGGCTGACATACTGCATAACTGCCCATAATGAGTGCCGGATCTCTTGATAACAATAAGCCAACCTCAACCGGAGATAAGCGTCCTAACCACCATCTGAAGTTTTTATCATAAAGCCAGACGCAGTAAAGATTCTATCGATATTTTTCGGCATCGAAATCCTAGTATGTTCAACACATTCATTCAAAGTACAAGGAAGTCATCTAGCGGTTACTTGCTTGATCCATTGCTAAATGATGCACCATGCATTATCATCAACCATTGCAAAGGTTATTCAATACGTATATGGCCTATACAATGGTTTGCGGATGCCAGTGATGCATCAAGTCAGTGTTGCTTTCCTTTCAAACGAGTCTCGCACCAATTCGCTGGTTAAGAAGGGAAGGAAGACTTGGTCAGCTGGAACGACTGAATCCAACGCGCGCTCTGCGCAAATAGAAAAGGGTAATTCTTCGTATTCTTGTTGAGCAAACGCGAAGTGTTATTTTATTCTTTATTCACGAACAAATTGACGTTTCGGCGGATTTCGCCTTCCTAGTAACACCTGGCGTTTGCCAAGAATACGAAGAATTACTAGATCAATGCCGAGTTTAATAGAAAGTCGGTCGTAGAATTTATTACAAGAAAAGGATAAGCTTTGCATTAAAACCAGTGAAGATACATAGTAATCCATTTCGAAAAAAAGCAGTTAATGCATACTAGTGGTGTAATGAAATCGTTCCAGTATCACTAATACGTTGACCGCCGAGTGACTCGAACGGGCACCTGTAAATCTTTCATTTCTACCGGGCCGCGTGCAAGAGTAGCACAGTGGGTTCTGCTCGCTCTAGGGACTCTTCGAACATCATATCTTTCTTCAAGGATGTCTGTGAAGAACTCTGACAAACGGGTCGGTGGTCATCCTGCAGTACGTTCCACATCCCGAGGAATCCAGACACTAACGGCTCTTGTACATCGGTTGTCTTCATACGCACTACGTGTTCGGCCCACCTTATCTTCGACTATTTGGGCATACAGAACGGCATGTTTGATTTTTGATGGTTGATGCAGGTCCGAGCTACGGATCCCATCCTTACTTGTGTGGAACGGGATATCCCTAGCATCGTCCTTTCGACTGCGCGTTCGATAACGTTGAGTGATCTTTCATCCTGCTTACGCAGCGACCAGATTTTTGACGCATACGTTAGGGCAGGAAGTACCGTTGAATCGCCTAGGTGGGCATGGAGTCGGGTGTTTTTTGTATTCTTCACTACATCCTCGATGTTCTTGAAAGCTCCCCAGACCGCTCGTTTCCTTCTGCTCAGCTCTGGTGCCAGGTCGTTCAACATGTTGATTTCCCGATTTAGATAGACATAACTGGGGCATTCAGAGATATTCGTTCCGCTGAGCGTGAATGGAGCATACGAAACCAATTCGTTCTTCATGAACATCATTTTTGCAAGATTTAGTCGAAGACCAATCTTTCCACAGACTTTACCAAAGTCGGCAAGCATACGTTCCGCTTGGCTAATGTTTGGTGTTCTAAGAACGATACCATCAGCAAGGAGAAGATGGTGCAACTGTTGTCCATCGATTTTCACTCTCATATTATCCCATTACAACGTTCGCATGACATTCAGGAGGGTGGCGGTAAATAATTTTAGCGAGATGGTATCGCCTTGTCTAACTTCTCTCACGTCAATGTTAAGATCGTTGTAGAATGGTGATATCCTCGCTGTGAATTGTACAGCTCACGAAGAGTCTTTATGTTTTGAGTAGAGACTCCTTGACTATCAAGGGCTTCCAAGACCGCTTCTCTCTCAACTGAATCAAAGGCCTTCTGCGAATCGATGAAAGTGAGATAGAGCGGTCTTTTGTACTCTCGCGATACTTCAGTGAGTCTTGTTAACGTGTGAATGTGGTTCATCGTACTAAATCCTTTTCGAAACCCTGCTTACTCACATGGTGAAGGCCCAATGTTCTTTCAGTTCTGCTTAGCATAACTCGAGCAAAAGTTTGTAGACGATAGACAGTATGCGGATTGGGGGTCTTAGTTGCCGATATGGTGGAGTCACGCTTCTTGGACAATAATACTGCCTTGCTGGTCTTCCACTGTGTAGAAACTTTGCATTCAGACAGGTAACGTGTGAGGAGCTGAGCCAGGTTGTTTATGAGGACTGGAGGAAGGTCCTTCAGGTGTTCTGGTTTATCCTGTCCGAGCCTGGTGCCGTTCGATTTTTCACCGACGAAATGCTATGTCGGGTTTCGGAAGGGAGAACTGGTGGCACAACATATCCATCCTCCTTTATTTCGTATGACGAGAGGTGGACGTGGCTATCGAAGAGATCCGAGTAGTACTCGTGAATGATTTTCTCCATTGCCTTTCTGGACGCTGTAGCGGTTCCGTCTGAGCGCCGGAGAGCAATCATTTTGGTCTTGTAATTGGCGAAGCTTCGGTGGGTTTTGCGAATGCTTTTCCCAGCCTCTGCAGCTCCGACCATTACTGCTTCTCTTCTCTCTTTAAGATCTTCTTTTATGGCCTGTCTGCATTGATTTGCAAACTTGGACGTTAGTTTGCGGTTGCCTGCAGCTCGCACGATTCCACGCTGGCACGTCAGCTCGAGTGTTTCTAGAGGCAGACGTCTTCTGGCGATCTTCGAACTCTCAGCTTTCATAGCGCTAGCGTGAAGATGTTAAATGAGCCGATCGTATTCTTCGTCGATGTTATATACAACGGCATCTTTCCAACAGCTGACTAATTAATTGAATAAGTCCCAGTTTGCTGTGGTTCTAAGACTTCGGTTTGGAATTTAGCAGCTTTTTCTCCTTTCCGCGAGAAATAGAATCTTGCACGAAAGAGACGATAGTCTGATCCCATGTAAAATTTTGGGACAACAGCGACATCGGTTAGGCAAAACTTTCTATTTACTATGATGTGGCCTATTTCGTTATGGTACTCTCCATTGGGAGACTCCCACGTCCAGCACTGAGGGTGGGGCTTCTGGAATTTCGAGTTGCCATTGATGGTCTTGGTAGCCATGACAAAGTCAGATAGCCGCTCACCCTGCTCGTTCCATTCTAATCCGTGGATCCCAAGCAATGTGATGTTCTTCAGACGTTCTTCTTGGTTCAGCCTTGGCGTTGAAATCTCCAATGATAACCTTGAAGACAGCACGGTCTTCTCTGCAGAACTTTTCCAAGTCCATATAGAACGCTTCGACTTCTTCTTCGTCATAGTTTGGTGTCGGCGCGTAAACGACGAAGATTGTCAAAGTCGGTATTGATCCACATCGTTTTAATCGTAAACGTGGGATTCGGGTTGTAAGCTGTTCGAATAAATCGATGTTCATGGACAAACTTGTGTTAACTCCTCTACTGTCTCATGTTCCGAGGAACAGTTCTTCTCCGGTGTCATAGACGGCGTTGAATGGGTGGCGTCTTCTCGTCTCGGCCAGGCCAATGACGTCGTACCTTATCCTTCTTGCTTGCATGAACAAATCTTCTATCGAGGACTCGGATACAAGTGTACGTGCATTTAGGTACAGATCGTCACCATAGTTCTTTGAAATCCAGGCAGCTTGCATTGGCCCTGAGATTTTAGCAGCCTCTCTGTACTCGTCCTACCCAACACTGCGAAATTGGGGCTCTTTCGGGGTCAGGGGAATGAGGCCCGTTTTTTTTTACTGTGTTTAGCATTTTTGATACTCACGTATAGCTTGCTTGGCTCTGAACGTGGGCGCCGGGTAAACTCACGGATAGCTTGCTAGGCTCTCCCAGAGTGGACATGGAGCTTATTTGTTGGAGGCGCCTCCTATGTACTTTCCAGTAACTTGATCGCAGGCTTTTGGCCGAATTGACTCATAGAATACAATCCGCATTACGCACCCACACACATGCGTGAATACGCCAAGCAAATACAGAAAGTATGTGCCAAATCGGCGCAGCAGAAACAGGGACTCCATCTCTTGGGTCCACCTGCGTCTCAGGGAAGCAAAGGTCGCTTTTAGTATGCGATCAACCCCCTATCAGCCACCTGGGGACGCACCACTGACCGGCTCGAGATCCCTCACGTGAGGGAGATCGGTAGAACAGCGCATCGTACGCGAATTAATTACGATTGCATTCTTGGCTTCAGGTCTATGCGGATTCTACGGATGTATCTCCCTGTATCTGGTGGTAGTACTGCTACAATCCGCCTCTCATTAACAAATTCCGGGAAAACTACAAATAGTCGAAAAGCAAGAGGCATGAAGGTGGTTTCACCTGTTATTCATTAATTCGTTCTTAGATGTCTCGGGTGAAATGTCATTAGTTAAGTCTCAAAAATTACTTAGAACTGAAATTAAAACACTCACTTTCCTCGAGCGACTGCATCAATTATCGGATTCATTTCAAGAATTTTTCTCTCGAAGTTGCTGCAAAAATAAATTGAAGTTGAGTAAACATTACTGTTGTATCACAATTGTAAAAAAAGGATAAAGCTCTCGGGTTGATCAATCCCTGAGAGATGCGTCATTTGTTCGACTTCACTAAGCATCATTTGGAGGTGATTGAATGCCTATTTGGCCTTTACGATGACCCGTGGTGTGGTGGCCTTCCGATTTATCGAGTCAGTGTTGCTATCCTCCCAGACAAGTCTAGTACTAGTTTGCTGACGCCGGAGGGATGGAAGGCTTCCTCGGCCATACACGCGCCGATCGATTCTACACGTGTGTTGTAGGGTCTCACAATTCCTAAGGAAAAAGCTTCCACAAAGAGACAGGTAACTCAAAAGTCAGACTCTTCGGATGCGAGGCATGGGAACTGAATAATCGGCATCCATGCGATCATCAAACGTGAAGTTCAAGATCATTCAAAAAGATCGTCATTCAAAAGAGAAGATCAGAAGATCATGAAGATCATTCAAAAAAGCGACGACGCTTTCCAAAATCCATCATCCATAAAACATTCACAACCATTATTAATTCATTTTAAAAAATAAAACGCTCGAGATCAAAGCGTCTTTATGCTACTGTAATAGAGCCTGAAGAATTCCGTTTCCGAAACACCCTATATTCAGAAACTGATAACACCTTAGATGGCATTTTTGACGTCTCGTTGATGCTTACGCGCTTTAGTTTTAAGATTGCGATGTAAATTTTCAGAAATCAGAGCCAGTTATGACTAGTTTGAAGGGATGAACAGTAGTGAGACGGTGTCGTAGCTCTGAACTCATTCAGTTTCTAGATAACGATTTGTACAACACGTGCACAGTGGTAGAACAGTTTGGGAATTCTACAACCGACCGGTTTCAAACATGCATGCATGTCCATTAAGTCATTGAAATGCAATTGTAATCGTAACCCTAAAAAATATCCGTTGATCCGCCCTCAATTCCGTTGACGGGTGATTGCTGATGGCAAAAAGATCGATAGAACTAGCTGAGAGACATGCAAAGGGAAGGACCCGAATGGTGTAGTGGTGAAGTGTGCTGCTCCCCGGTAAGGACAACAGCGCGTGTTCGTTCCCCACTGCATACACCTGTGGTCCGGAGTTCTGCAAATATCTCAGCATTTCATACGACCTAAAAATATAATAATTATGGACTAATTTATTCGGAATGTTTAAATCCATGACGCGAGATCTCTTTCTATCTATTCCTCTTCTTTCAATGAATCTTCCCCACTTCGAAACTTTTTAAACTATCTCTGGAAAACTGGATCGCCTGCAACATAACCCTCCCAAGCTCCATTTCCGGTTTTCAAAAGGCTCCCCCCAAGTGAAAATATCATATCAATAAACCAGTCTTTTAAATCGTTGCACAGGTGAATTCACAACCTTGAAATTGGATGAGGGGAACGAGAAGCGCTGTGTTTAAAGACGATGTGGAACAAGACACGTGGGATCGCTGTTTGTACCCCTCCGAAGCCCAGGCCAAACCTTTTATTCTTCTGGAGTCGACACATTGGTGATACACTACTTTGGGAAGAGTTCTTTACGATATACAAAGTCTGAACGTGGTGAAGACATGGGAACGGCCTACTTTCAGAATTATCTAATACACCACTTACAACTGATCTCAAAATGTTAGTTAATGCATAACAGTAACTAAGTGATGCCTTAGCTACTTTGGATGTTCACTTTGAAAACAAAACGTTAAAAATTGGCAAACTAGGCGCAACGTCATGAAATTTTGTTAGAACTGTTTCAAACAGGTGACAGTAACCGGTTTTAAACCAGCCAAGCGGTGTACTGAGCGATGTGAATCATTGATAGATGGATGTATGTCCTGACTGCTGCCGATGTGTTGCAGTCACTGCCATTCTTTTCGATTTGGCAGGTTTAGCGAGGGTGGAAGGGTGTTTGATGAAGTTTGTGGTGTATCATCTGATTTTGGGCCACTCACCTGTTCGCTTGTCCGTTCTTAGGCTCCAAATAACTGATGGGAACAAGTCCGAGTGAAGTCTGAACCAATCCTCGTACGTCGACTTCGTTATTGCCTATTTTCACTTTTTTCCTGGAGCAATTCTTAGTGATAATGATAAACCAATAATTTTTACTTTTTCAGACTATTCGTTATTAAAGAATAAAAAGCTCTCGGCGTTGATCATTTCTTGAGGGATGCGCCATGCATTCGACTTCAATAAGCATCGCTTGGAGGTGATTGAATGCATATCTAGCCTTTACAATGACTCGCGGTGGCTTACCAATGTATCGAGCCAGTGGTGCTATCCTCCCATACAAGACTGGTGCCAATTGGCCTACTCGGAGAGATGGAAGACTTGGTGGGCCATGTGCGCGGGAATCGATTCCATGTGTGTGTTTCAGGGCACCTCCGACCACTGCGCCACGTGCCCTTCGTTACTACACAACTTTATAGTAACTCGTTCGGCTTAAAAGTATTTTTAGCAACAGAATAATAGGATGATGTTTGGAAAGCATATACAGACACACCTTCGACACATTATGTTTTGGAGAATAATACAACTTTTGATAGATCACACTGGGAATGTCCAACGAAATGAATAAATACTTGAATTGTTTGTATTCGTTTAAATAAAGCTTGTTTGTTTTTACAATAGCAAGGCAGGAGCACTGGTTATTGGAGAGAAGTTATGATACTTTCAGTAAAAAATAAAGAACGCTCACTGGAGGCAAGGGATATGACAAATAATAACGTCTCTATTTCGAAGGTGATATGAGGAAACTTGCGTGACCAACTTTTCTACCACATCAGTGACTGTGACTTGTTGTCCAGGTTCTTTTATTTCAGCCAACCCTTCCACGGCCAATGGCCATCGAACCTGCAACATTCACGTGAAATGGGGTGGCGAATTATTATTCCGCTGTGTATTTTTCAAATACGTAATTTGTAGTAACTCCCAAGTCCGACTTTCTATTAACCTCGGCATTGATTGAATATATCTTTCTACTTCTGCTCAGCAAAAGACTGGAAGACTCATAGAAAGCGCCTCTGAGGAAGGCGAAACCCGCCGAAACGTCAGTTTTTACGTGAGTGGGAAAGTGGAATAGCACCTCGTGTTTGCTGAGCAGAAGTAGAAAGATACGTAATTTATATTTTGGCGTATGTAGCTGGCTAAGAAAGCTTTATTACTTTCTATTTGTGATTTCTAACTGCCGATTCATTCTTCATAAGAGATTCAATCCTACTCACTTGTTTGCGTGGAACGTCCAGGTCTATCGATTCATATTAAATATGTAGTGTGGCTCTTAGACTCCTACCCTATATTCGAGTTCTTTACCTTTAGAATTTCATTCTATGCTTAGGGAGAAATCGCCTTACCGAAAGTCATGGCTTTATTTAACCGCTTAAGATTTGGTGCAATAATGGGATGTTGCCACGGATCTCTCTCATAGATATTATGCCGCAGAGCTAACGATACCGTTCATGATGAGTACAAGGCCGATTCGTCTCCGCACCAGGTTTATCACGTCTTATCTCTCTGGATTATGAAAACGTGTAACAGATGTGGTTAGAAACGGCTCACTTAAGGCAATCGAGGTAGGAAAGCTTTAGCCGGACTATCTCAGGACTTTTCTCATGAGAGGATCTTATGCCGGATAGTCGCGAAGCAATGTGGCTGGTCCTCAAGTGACGAATAGGGGTTAATAGCGGAACAAAAGCAGTCTTATACTTTTCCGAGATGGAAATAGGTTCAGGGCAAGAACTCCTTGTTTCTGCTGCGCCAATTTGGCACATACGTTCTGAATTTACGTGGGCGTATTCATGCATGCGTGCGTTTATGTATTCTAGTTTATACGGATTGTATTTTCCGAGTCGATTCGACCAAAAGCTTGCAATCAAGTAACACGGATGTATGTGGGGGGCGGTTAGGAGTCGTCTCCAACAAATAAACTACCGGTCCACTCTCGGAGGAACTGGCGAGCCACCAGTGAGAATACCTAGGCCGCACCTTCACAGCTCAGCAAGCTATACATAGGTATTAAATGCTAAGCACAATAAAATAAACGGACCTCATTACCCTAGCCCCGAAAGAGCCACTCATTCAGCAACGTTGGGTAGAAAGAGTACGGAGAAGGTGCTAAAATTTTAGGGCCATTCTTGGCTGTCCATATCTCGAAGGACTAACATGAAGATTTGTACCTACATCTACGCGTATCCGATTAGTCGATAGATGAGCTGATCATGCAAGCAAGAAGGATAAGGTATGACGTCATCGGATTGACTGAGACGGAAGGACTCCACCATCGAACGATGTCTATAATACCGGAATAGAAATGTTCCTCGGAACATGCGTCAATAGGGAAGAAGCCGGCGTCGGCGGTGTCCTTGCTTTCGTCGAAACGAGTTTGACCGCAAATATCAGTTTATTCCACCAACTACCAACTTAGGTCGGAAATTTACGATTGAAGGTATGTGGGCCAATGCCGCTTTTGATAATTTTTGCCGTTTATGCATCGACGTCAAACTATGACAAAGACGAAGTCGAAGCGTTCTACTTGGACTTAGAGTGGTTTTACAGAAAGGACCATACGTCTTCAAGGCTATGATTGGAGATTTTAAAGCTGATATTGGACCCAGAAGAACATCTGAAGAGCGTTATCTCGAGACCTACAGATTGGAATAGAACGAACAGGATGAGCGGTTGTATTAGCTTATCATGATGACCAAGAGCACTTATGGCTACTTGGCTACTCGCAATTCCAGAAGCCCCACCGTCAACGCTGGACCTGGGATTCCTTTAATGAAAAGTACTATAACGAAGCAGCCCACATCATAATAAATCGAAGGTTTTGAGTACCCCATGTTACTGTTGCTCCAAAATGTTAAATGGAAATGGATCATCACCTTCTTCGTATAAGATTTTGTTTGGCAAGCAAAGCAGAGAAAGTCGCTAATTTCAAAAGACGACATCTCGTAAGTTACCATAAGCAGATTTATTCAGTTCATAAGCTGGCTGTTAAGAAGATACCGTTACACCGACGACCAGCGCATTCAACATCTCTATGCTAGGGCTATGAAAGCAGAGTGTCCGAAGGTCACCAAAAGAGATCTTTCTCCAGAAACACCCGAGATGATAACACCAGCTTGAAATTACACGAGCTACAGACAGAAATACAACTCAGGTCCGAGCTTGCAAAGCAATGCAGGCAGACGACGAAAGAAGATCACAAATAGAAAAAGTAGTAGTTATGCCGAACCTAAAGCGTCTGAGAAAATCGTTCGTAAAGCCCATAGAAACTTCGCCAAATTCAAAGTTGATACAGCTTCTTTCCAGTTTGATAAGGTCGACAGCTTCTTTCCAGTTTGATAAGGTCGACAGCTTCTTCGATATTTAGCTTTCTATTCACAAGCACAAGCATCTGGTCATGCGGGTTGCCAAATTTTAAAGGAAACGCCGCTTTCTTGCTAACAAAAACGCATAGCGTGTCGTTCTCTCAAAAATAAAAGACGTCGTTTTTCTCTGGAGTGGGAGGCAAAGTACATCGAAAGATTGATCATCAATAAGGCGCTTACTCTAGAAATTGGCTAACATTTAGGTTGATGTGGAGTGATATGAGAGAACACTAATGGGTTCATTAGAACTCACCTTGAATGTGTTCAAAGCTAGCGCGGTGTCCACCTGAGCAGTTTCTGCTTTCATCATCTATTAAACCGCATTGTATTTGTCTGGTAAGTGATTATCGTGTTATCAATTGAATATTTGTTTTGATATTTTTGTCCAATAAGACCTCGCTTTTTTTCTCACTTTCACACCTTCAACAACGAAGAACGGTGAGTAAGCTGAATTACTGGTTATTACGTAAGCACTTCTTTGTTTCTCCACTTTACGGTGGAATAAAATAACACAGGGCCGCTTGTGGAATTATAAATGTGGACCAGCCGGTCGTGATTGTATTGTCATTACATGATTAGGAAAATTATGTCGTCTCACCAAAATGAATATCTTATACCCATCTTTACACTATTAAACAGGAGCGTGAGTAGCGTAGTAGTTAGAGGTGCCCCGCAATACACGTGCTCGTCTCGTGCCCTGGATTCACTAAGACCCCCAGACAACAGATTGGTACACCAGACTACTCTGCAAAGATACCAGAACTGAGCTGATGCATTATTAAGCTACGGAAAGTCAATATTCTGTTCAAATATGCATTCGACCGCTTCTAACGACGCTTGATGGAGCTGAATGTATAGCGCATCTCTTAGCGATTTATCTATATCAACCGCTTTATTCTCTAACCTTTATGTTACTATAAACGGTATTGCTTCACAGTGAATTCATGGAGTGCTAAGGAAGCTTTTTTAAATCTGTTGTTTGGCTTAGTACAGTGACAATTCAGTTATAATGAGTGGAAACCAATCGATAAGTGTGCTTTCTACGTTTACTCAAACACCAAGTTCTGAGCACATCGCATTAAAAAAATAACATCAAGTATTTAAGCAAAACCGAACAAACGGAAGATTATCGGGCGAAACTTAGGCTTGTTTCAGATGACAACGCGCAATGTTAATGAGGGGAATCAAGTGGGAATCTCAGAACCTGTTCAGGTGAAATTTGTATAGAATTTAATGAAGTACTTAGCAAAAGGTTTTTGTTTCGATATCTAAAAGCTTAAGAAATTTTCCATGAAACCTAGAAGAGTCCGAAGTCAAGAATAACTAGACGAAGAGAATGTAGTTGTGCCAGACTTTCAGTGGAGTCGAATAGCCTATAAGAGAGTCCGCGGCGCTCGGAATGTGGATCAATCGCTCGTGGATCGTTACTGCAAATCATACCCACAACGTCCAATAGCTCTAGCAGAATTTGTCAGCGATGATGGAGAACCATTCGCGTGAAATGTTCTCTATCCTTCACTTCAATAGACTTTCACTAAATTATGTATTAGCATTGTTACGCCTGCACGTAACTTATTGTATTATGAACTACTTGGCACAGTGCCCACGTGCGTGCCCATTCACATTTCCTTTTAACCATCAGGCACGCCACCAGGCATGCTATCGGGAACGCCTAATTGCTTGGGGAGTAGACCCCGAGACCCAAGTCTTGACCCTGCGATCAATGCCACTCGCTTGGATGTAGCCAAGCCCGCTTGAACCGTCATTTAGCTTCTGACGCTTTAGAGCTCGCCGTTGCCCTTCCCCATCATTATTTGCTCTCCCACATAGTCCTTTCATTCGCAACACCTTCGACCCACCTAGGCACAAATGATGTTAACTACAATCTTTAGCTCTTGCACTAATACGTTGATGTTATCGTCGATTCTCATGTAATTACTCATGTGTTGTTGACATAGCAGTTTTGTTAACTACTTTCATTGCTCACAGATATTCTACCCAGCAATTCTTCATTCTTACTGCTAAAGCATTCCTGCGATAACTATTCACATTTTTGCACTATAAGCACTTAAGTCCTAACCCTGTTGTAATCATAGCAATATTTTTACACAATCAGTATTTGCTAACTACTCATATCCTCATAATTCTGCTGCATACTGCCCTACATTATTGTTAATGCAATATATTAGGCAACAAACCCACTAAACCACCTCACTTGTAATTGATGGTACATGTATTTCTAGTCTCATTCCGTTGTTGTGTAAATAATATGTATATACGTGCAAAGGTCTGGTTACCCATGTTTGGGGTACTCTACTGAGCAGTTCTTCATTCTTATTGCTGAGGCATTTCCGCGATGACCATTCACATTTCTTCCACTGCGCTATCACATTCTTGCACCAATCGCTACACTGATTAGGCAATTCTAAGCTGAACTAACTCTTATGCTGGAAAGGACAGTGCATATAAACAAACTAAACGCGCAATTGAGGA